TGCCACTGGGGGCTGCACTTGGAGACAGAGGGAACCTCCTCTACCCAGAACCTCCGTCTCTCCCCTCAGTCTCATAGGGCCAGCTGAAGTGGAGTGACCGTAGGCACCACTGGCCCCTCCCGGAACTGGAGTGGGAGGGCAGAGCAGAATCGGGCTCTGCCAAGGGAGGAGGAGGGAGAAGGTGCTGGGTCAGCACCAGCACAGCCCTGCACTGCCCTGCATGTGCGGCAGGCGCCGTCTCCGATAACTGGAGACCTGGCTGCAGAGAGCAGGAAGTGAGGACCAGGATGGACACCAGCAAAAAGCAACAGCATTGCCCTGACCAGGGTGGTTTCTCAGCTTCTTTAAGCTTGAGGTAGAGCAGCAATCTGGCTTCCTTGTGTAACAGATCAAGTGGTTTTCCTCAAAATAGTATAATAACTATGTATCGACAGCTGTCTATAAACAGTATAACTGTATATCAATCAACAGCTACCTATAAATACTGTAACTGTAAATGAATAGCTATCTGTAAACAGTATAACTGTATCGATAGCTATCTGTATAGTATAACTGTGTATCCGTGGCTCTCTGTAAATACTGTAATTGTGTTGCTAGCTCTCTGTAAATAGCTAACTGAAAAAGCTGGCATCACGTTGTAGATCTTAGAACATGGGCATTCAGTCCGCTGACTATGGCATCCTAAGGATTTGCGTTTCCACAGATGAGGAGGAAGTCATCAGAGGACTGCTTTCTCTTTGGTGCCATCAAAGGCAAAATTCTGTGTTTTCTTTGGTGACAGACTTTCTAAAACTTCCCTCTGTGACTCTTTTTTGTTATTTAATATTCCAAAACGGATGCTCTCCGTTATTAAAACTATTTTCATTTTTCTTTATTTCTTCCCAGTGGGATTTTATTTGCTCCATACAGTTTCAGGGCTGATTGAAGGGGATTTCAAATGCAGCTCTTCAGTCTCCCACCAGCTTTCACGCTGACTTGGGGTCATGTTAACAGGCTGACCACAAAGTCCCTTACAGTGGGTTGAAGGTGACATCATTATGCTGTGCTTCTTACTTTTACACCAGCTCTGGGCCCTTGGCGTCCTGAGCTCACTTTGACATTGGCCAGGACTTCACAGGTGCTGGGTCATTTACCGACCCTTGGCCCCCAGGACTTCACAGGTGCTGGGTCACTTGCCAGCCCTCGGCCCCCAGGACTTCACAGGTGCTGAGTCACTTGCCAGCCCTTGGCCCCGAGGATTTCACAGGTGCTGGGTCACTTGCAGCCCCTCAGCCCCTGTGGGCAGCCCAGGGCTGTGCTGGGATCCCGCTCACACTCTGTATGGTGAGGTCCTCACTGCCTTGTAACGTTTGGAAAACTTTCAGCAACTGCTGTGCAGCCAGCCTGCTGAACTAAATTCTAGGTTGTTGAGCTCCATCACCAGGGGCCTGCCTGGAAATAACTTGTTCTGAGCACTTTACCTGAAGTAACCCCTTTAGTCTGTGCAGGCCCCTGTGAGGAGAAGACTGCAATGATCTCCATCTTACTAGTGAGGAAACAGGGCACAGAGAGGTTCCGAGCTCGCCCAGGTGACACAGCCAGCTCAGAACGGGCGGTCGGGTTCTTGGAAATCTCCCTCTGGAGCTTTGTCTCCTCTGGCCTCTGGGACGTGTCTGAGGATGTGGAAAGGGGGGTGTCCCACGGCGGCAGGGGCTGATGTAGCTTCCTCTGGCCCAGAAAGGCCCACGCGTCCTGCTGCATGCACCATCCAAGTGAAAGAGCCCCGGGCTCAAGGTATGTCATCGTCAGTAAACAGTTGTGTGCATCCATCACGGCCCTCGGTTGCTTCTGGGGTCCCCCTCACCTTCGGGAATTCCTTCTTCGTGTTGCTCCGTCTCTAGTTATAGGTGAGGATGTTTCAATTAGAAGACAGGCTTCTGTGTGTTGTATGTAGTGTGGACAAGGCCCTCTGACACTGTTACTGAAGCTCCTGGGATGTGACCTGTGCAGGCATTTACATGGGAGCCTGCCCGGGAATGCCAGGTTCAGCGAGTTGGAGCTCGCCTGGCCCCAGCTGCCCCACTGCTGTTGGCCCTGTGGGCATTGAGCTCAGGCCCTCAGGCATTTCTGAGCACCTGCCCTTTGCCAGAGCACCCTGGTGGAACGCAAAAACAAGCAGGTCCTGCCCTAGCCCTTGCCCAGGACTTGGTCTGATTAGCTCCAAGCACCTCCCTGGTGCTCAGGAATGATGGATGGTGGCGGGGGGACGGATGGAAGGGTGAAGGGAGGGGTGTGGCAGGGGAGAGCATGGGGGGCGGGGGAATGTGTACTCTGCATGAGTCTGAATGACAGAGGGGACTGCTAAGGTGAGGAAGGAGGATGCTCCTCAAGTTCCGGTACGTCAGCAAGTCTGTTAACAGCAGATGCCAGATGTCGTGAACCCGAGAGCCCTGCGGGTGGATCCTGCCGGAGTGAACTTGAACAGGCATCTGACTCCCATCAGATCATCCTAAAAATGGAGCCTGTTGCTGCTATCAGAGCAGGGTATGTTCTGTTTGTGGTCGTTTTTTTAGAGCAGGTGTGAGATTTCCACTGCTTCAGTGAAAAACAGACTTGGGGAAATGAGGCACCGAGTGGGTTTGCTGGTTGTGTGACCTCCTCTCCACTCCTCTGCTTCCCCTCCCCTTCTCTCTCCTCCTCTCTCTCTCCTGCCCTTTCCTCTCCCCTTTCATCCCCTCTCTTCCTCTCCTCTTCCCCCTCTCCTCTCCCCTCTCCTCTCCCCTTCTCTCCCATCTCCTCTTCTCCCCTCTCCTCTCCCCTTTCTTTCCCTCCCCTCCTCTCCCCTCTCCGCCTCTCCCCTCCTCTCACCTCTTCTCCCCTCTCCCCCGCCCCCTCCCCCTGATTTCAAACAAAGGAAAAGTAACAACAGAAACACAGTGGATGTTCATATCTACCTCACAGACTTAATAAAGATTATACTGAATTTTTTCAGATTAAAAAACAAAAATCTTCCAGATTCAGTTGAAGCCCCCTTTTTCTTTAACTGGATTGAATACTATATATTTCAAACAACATTTGATATGTTATTAAAATATCTTGTTGATGCTGTTAAAAGGCTTTTTTATTTTAAAGAGAGGGGCTTATTGAAATGATGTAAGACGCTTAAAATCCGAGGCCTTTGGTCAGCGTGGTACACCCACAGGGAAGTGCTCCTAAGTGTTTTGCTTGAGAGGGTCATTCAGAATCAGGGGCTGGGTAGAAAGATTTTTCCCCTGCCTCCCCCAGCCCCCAAATCTAAGATCTGGAATGCTCGCGCTCGAGGGGGTGAATTGGAAAGAGATGACTTCCTCCACGGCAGAATGAGGAGCGTCTGTCAGTTGATAACGTGATTAGCAGCTGCTGACAGCAGGACGTAGAACCACGTATTCTCATTATGAAAAACTGGGCATTTTAATTATCCTTGATTTAAAAACCCAAAGTGAAAACTTCCGAGTTGAAGGAGAATGGAAGACTATCTTGTATGTTCACATGCTGTTTCACATGCAGTGTTTCTCCCTTTGGCTTCTGCACAGTGTCACAGATGGTAGTGCACGCGATTCTCCAGCCCGACATCCGCCACCCGCAACCCTGACTCAGGAGAATAATAATTCTCAATCGTTCGTTTGGCTTTTTTTTTTTTTAATTGACTTATTTCCTGCTTAGTCAAACTGTTACTTGGCAACTCTGTGCAGAGCTGTTATCTGAGCTGAAAGAGGAGGGTAATTTGTCTCACGCTCATGAGAATTTGCAGATTCCTGCCGACACCAGCTTGAGGCTGGTGGGAAGGAGCGGGCCATGTGTGCCTTGGCAATCCTCACTCACGGGGAGAAGCTGAAGGCTCCTTTCTACAAACGAGGCCTCGTCTTTGGGGGACGTCACAGTGACTGTCCTGGGTGTGGGGCCCTGCAGGTGCCCCAACAGGGTGCAGGATGGCTGGGGGGGACGCAGCCAAATGGGCTCCCGCAGCCCACGGCCGAGTCACAAAGCTCTCTGGAGTCAGGTCCTCGCGATGACTCCCTGTCACCCTGTGACGGCCTTGCTCCTCTCACGCAGTTTTGGTGCCAGGCTGGTTGCAGTTTGGGTTTTTTCAGCACGTGAACTTTGCCAACAGGGATCTTTGTATTTTGGTTGTTAGTAACATGCTTGTGTCAGTTAATAATAACCACCCGGTTCTTCACATTGTGACTTTTTATTTTAGGATAGTTTAATCCTCGTGAGGAGTTGCAGGATAGCATGATAGCACAGAGCCCGCCTGCCCTTTTCCCCAGCGCCTGTGCACCTCTTGAGGGTGGGGGAGGAGTGGGAGCTGGGACCACTAAGTCCCTGCTGCGGTCACGCTCCGTGCCGGGTGCTTTCCTTCGTCGTGAGAAGCCGGTGACATGGATCCTGTCATTCTCTCTCATTTTCCACAAGGGAGGGTGAGCTTCAGAGAGGTTGGGAGTGCTCTGCCTATTTACGTGCTGTGCTGGAGCCAGGGCTGAGCAGCCCACCCCGAATCCCAGTGACAAAACACGCATTGGGCGCTGCTGGTACCCAGTCCCCTGGCCTGTGGGCTGCTGTCAGTGTTGGCTGCTGATGGCCCACAGTCAGTGGAGCCTCTTCACCCGAAGTGCCTGCAGGAGCATCCCCTCCCAGCCAACACCTGACGGACTCCACAGACGGTGACCCCTTGCCTCGGTGGGACAGCCTGTGGTGCCGGCACGCTCCAGAGCTCGGCGGGATCCAGCTTCAGCAGAGCCACGTCTCTGCTTGGCTTCTGCCCTGCCCTATCCTGCTTCTTCCCTTGCTAACTTAGGGTGCCTGACTCCCCGTCTCAGACTCTGCTCTCAGGGAACCAGACCTTGGGCACCTGGTGTGTTTTTAGGCTCGTTTCCTCCTGTGGTGGGTAGGGTAGGTAGAGGCGTGTGTCACCTTTTCAGACAGCCAGCAGCAGAACGGGGAGCCCTGCCGGCTTCCCGGGATTCCCTGGGGCTCTAGGACCAGAGGCCTTGGCACCGTGGCCTCTGCAGGTGGCGTGTCCTACTGGCTAGCCGGCAGCTTGTTGAAACACCCACGGCGAGCCAGCGCCTAGCCTGGCCAGGAGGTTCTCGCTCAGAAGACTTTGTGAACACGCCGCATTGCCTAGCACAGCAGCGTGGAGTCCTGCTCTGGCCAGCGGAGGATCGGGCAGAGCCCAGAGTACAGGCTTGAGCCAGCAAGACGAAGTGGCCCAGACGTTTACCGTCCAGGCCTGAGATTTGATAGCAGAGCTGCTAGGGTGCCTGGAGCCTGCTGGCCCTTGGTCTTGGTGGCTGACCCAGGACCCCAGAGCATGCGTTTACCTCCGGATGGCGTCCCCATGGTGGGCCCTGTGCTGCTCCCACATTTTCCCTCAGTGTTTTCTTTGCCTGGTGTGAAGCCGCCTTCTTTTCTTTTGTGTGTAGGTCCGACAGGCGGTGACGTGTGTAGTGGGGGACTGGCTGCTGAATCTGCGGGACCGGTATTCCTTCTTTCACAAGCTCATCCCGCTGTTGCTGAGCAGTTTCGACGACGAAATACCAGAAATCACGTAAGTGGCCGTGCAGTCCTGGGTGGCTGTCAGGCCTGTTCGTGGGGCTCTGCGGCCCCTGCTGTTGCAAGTGTGGCTCCTCTGTCTTTTGTTTGTCAGCGACTTGTTTTTCCTAAATCGTCATTACAGCGATGGCTGTTTCCTTTGCCGTGGAGTCTCCTACCGAAGCCCACCCTGTGCCCTCATCTTAGATGCTATGAGATCATGAGGCATACAGCGGGTCTCTGCAGTTTTTAAAATAGAGTCTTGTGTTTTTAATACTTTGGGCAGCCACATAGAAGTCAGTTGCCATTTAGTGCTGTCAGTAAAGTGCTCAAAAGCCCTGCAGAAAGCCTGGTGCATTCTCTCAGGGAGAGATGGCTCCGTGTCCCAGGGCTCCCCCACCTCTGCAGGAGCTCCCCCTGACCTGTGTATGCTGTGTTGCAGGCGTGCCGCTGCCAGCCTCTGGGAGCAGGTTGGCCTGCAGTGGCAGAAGGAGAACGAGGAGGACCTCAAGGACAAGCTCGACTTCGCCTCTCCCCCACCAGCCCATCACCCCTATCCAGGTGAGTGCAGCCTTCCCCAGGACAGTGATGGGGGCGCTGGGTGAGTCTCCATCAAGGGGAAGTGTCTGAGCCTGCGCTCCTGGAGTTGTGTGGAGACCAGGGCAGCTGCTCCACGAAGGTGGCGGAGATGGGGCGCCATCCCTGGGTTAGAGCCAGGCCTGGCAGCGTGTGAGCTGAGAGGCACAGTGAGAAGGAGTGCCCTCGTGCATCCTGGGCAGGACGTGTGTCCTCAGTGTCCAGCATGGCTCGTGCTGTCCTCTCATCTGGGCCAGCTCTATTGTAAAGATGCTTGCGAGCTTCCTCAAGTGTCCGGATGCCCTGCGGCAGGCGCTCACCTCCTCCCATAGGAACTCGCCTGGGTGAGGCCCTGGGTAGGCGAGGATGCATCAGGCGGAGCAGCATTAGGCAGCTGCTACTGGTGGTGGCGGAAACTTTGGAAACGGGTAGTACTTTGGCATTTTATAAGAAAAGATTTTTGTAAGCTTCATCTGAAGAAGCAAACACTTAGGTCACAGGGTAGATGCAGCCCTTGTATTTCAGGGTGATTTCCACGCTCAGGACAGAGGCTCCCATTGCAGAACCGCCCCGTCCTTTCCTTCGCTATGGGTGCCAGACCGCAAGCACTCTCGTGTGTCAGTGTGTGCTGAGAGCCAGGTCTGTGTCTGCGAGGAAGCCCCCCAGGCTGCCAGCCCCTCCCTGCCCCACGGCTCCGCACACCTTTGGCTTTTCTGTTCTGGAAACTGCTTTCTCTCTTGGGGATGAAGTGTCTTCAGCTGTACTTGAGCAGATGGCGTTGTCACCGCAGTCTGTGCTCAGGGTATTTTCTTGAAATTAGATAACAGTGGGGTACATGCTGGCAGGGACAAAGTAGTACCCACGTCAACCAGCCAGCCGCTGGGTGAGAGACTGAAGGCCCCGAAGCTGGCAGACCCCGCTCCTGCCCTGTTGGGCCAAGTGGTCCAGGTCAGCTGTGCCTGGAGGGGGCGTCGGAGGCCACTCAGTGCAGTGCCAAGACAAGTGCGTGTCGTGGGGTTTGGTAAATTGAGCCCAGCAAAGGAGCTCCTCCCCTCTTAGAATGTGAATCCAGTGACTTTTTTGGTCAACATGTCTACTCATGCAGCCTCACCTCCCACACGGTACAGTTGGTATAAGGGGAAATCACACATATTTTGGAAAAGGTACAAAAATTAGTTGCTAGCAGCATTTTTTTCTGATTTAGTAAAGTCTGAGAACACACAGTCTTTTTAAAAATGTAGAACTTAGACATAAAGGTTTAGGTTTTATTTTTAAGCTCACCCTCATTTTCTGTGAAGGAAGTCAAATTCTGAAGGTGTCTTTTCGTGTTCTGCCAGTGCTTCCTCCCCTCTGCCCGCCGGAGTTAACCTCTGCGCTAGTCAGGCCGAGGAGCTCGATGTGGTTGTGTTCATTGATGACAGATTTCAGCTGGGTCCCGATCCTTGACTAGGAAACAGTCACTCTTCAGATGTGCAGTTCAGGAGGTCCACCTCACTAGTTCTGGACCAGACCTGAGATTTACGTCCGACAGTTCTTCACATCTCGCTGTGGCTCCCTGGCCACACGCGGACCGGGGAAGATCATCCCGTGATGGGAGCAGAGGCTGCCCTGTGCCCTGTGGACGTGTTTGTCCTCACAGTGCAGACGCAGGCGTTGGGTCCTGAACAGGCCACCTGCAGGGAGGGATGAAGGGGCGTGGGGACGGGGACTGGAAGATGCAGACCTTGGAATGTGGTTGGAGGGAGGGTAGGGTGAGGCCTACTGTGCGCAGAGCACAGCCAGTCAGTTACACTTCTGAGGCTGGGAGAACATGGTTATGCTCAAAAATTTTGTTTCAATTAGAGCAGAATAAATTTAGAATTGAATTACAATCGAAGTTAGTGGCACGAGCACTAGATTACATTAGATTTTTGGCATTTTCCCCTAAAAGTACTTTTTCTTCCTTAAATTCTGAATTTTAAATCTTAAGTTTTCAGATTTTTTCTTTTTTACCCCGTCTCATTATGTCAGATCATGTCAGTCTCCTCACAGCCTCACTGTGGGCCGTGCGTCTCGCTGAGCACACGCCCTCCCATGCCTCCTGTGCCTCCCACGCCCCTGCTACGCCGTCTGCCTCACTCGGGTCCTCTGATGTCCCCTCTCCCCAGGCCACTCCAGCCCCTCGGGACAGGCTGCCTTGTTAAACTGAGACATAATTTACATCAGGAAGTTCACCCTTTAGAGTAGAGTTCTGTGAGTTTTTACAAACACATGTTCAGCTGCCCACCACTGCAGTTAAGATCTAGGACATTCTGGGCCGGCCCCGTGACGTAGCAGTTAAGTGCTCGAGCTCCGCTGCTGGCGGCCCGGGTTCGGATCCGTTTTCTCTCCCCATAGTTCTGCCTTTTCCAGGACATCATGAATGACTCACCATAGGCAGCCCTTCTCGTCCAGCCTCTTCCACTCTGCGTGACGCACCTGAGGCTCGCCTGTGTCGTGTGCGTCTGGGGTTCTTCCATTCTGTGGATGTACCGCAGTTTATCCGTCGCCAGTTGAAGGACATTTGGGTCATTTCCAGTGTTTGGTGTTTTCAGAAAAGGCTGGTCTGAGCACTTGCATACAGGTTTTTGTGTGAACACGTGTTCTCATTCTCCCGGATAAACACCTAGGAGCAGGCTTGCTGGGTCATGTGGTGGCTGTGTGTGTGACTTCATGGGAAATGGCCACGCTGCTTTCCACGGCAGCTGCACATTTGCATCCTGCCAGCGTGGTGGGGAGTTCTGGTTGCTCCACGTCCTGGCTGCACTCAGTGGGGTGGGGTCTTGTTTGTAGCGTCCTTGTTGGAGTATGCTGGGATCCCGCAGTGGCTTTAGTTTGTAGTTCCCTGATGACAGATGATGTGGAGCATCTTGTCGTGTGCTTATTTCATGTTTTTGTCCACGGATCTTTGGTTAAGTGTCTGTTCAGATCTTTTGTCCATATTTTAAATTGAGCTCTTTGCTCTCTTACGGAGTTCGAGCATTCTTTCTGCAGTCTGGGTACAATCCTTTGTCTAATCTGTGTTTTGCCACTCTTCTCTGATTGGGCTGTCTTTGAAGTCCCAGCCTGTCCCCACCTGGTGGCCCTGGTGGGCACTGTGCTCCCTCCTCCACACCTGCTCTTCCTCATCACTGGTCTTGGCTCCTGCCTCACACCTCAGAGAGCCACTCCCCACAGCCTCCTTTCTCCCTGCCTCGCTTTCTTCCCATCACCTGCCTCCACCTCACGTCATCCTGTTTCTGGGTCGAACGTCTGCTCATGCTTTGAGAGGGCAGACTTGTCTACGGCTGCATCCCACCACCTGGAACAGGTGTTTCAGGCACAGAGTCGGCTCAGCAAGTATCAGATGAGTGAATGAGTGGGTGATGTGTCCGCTCTGACCTGTGAGGTTGGACAGTTTGTGTGGCTGAATCACACACCTGAGCGTATGAACAGACAAGGTTTGATAAGGTGTGCTGTTCTCTGCTGACAGACACTGTGCTCACACATAACGCCCTGTCGAATAAGGAATTCGGGGAAGTCACACCTGGACCAAGGGGCCAATCTGAGCCCAAATCCCCCTTTCCTAAGAATATAAGGTGTGTGCGGCATAGAAATACAATCTATTCACCACACAGCTTGTCGTTAGCTCTACAAACATAATGTAAGTTTCCTGTTACAACACTGAGATAAATCTCTACTTTTAAAACCAGGCTCCGAGTTGGGAAGATGGGCAGGGCATCCGTTGTTCGCCTGAACAAAGTGCTCTTCTCGTGTAGAAGCACAAGTTCATGCTTGACGCGTGTCTGCCCATCGTGCCTGCGAGCTGCTAGCAGCAGGATTGAGTGGTGACAGGGGGTTCCGGAGTCCTTTCTGCTTTGAAATTGTCCTTCTGTTAAAATTGTTTTCCTTGGTAATGCTTGAGTGAGAGGGGAAGCGCCTCCTCATAATGGTGAATGGCTTGCCAGATCTTTGAACACAACAGGATAGAGTTGGCTTTTTTTTAACCCACTTTAGAAATAAGTAGAGTTCCCTCTGAAGCAATACCGCTGTAATGTAGATTGTCTCCATAATGCCCTCTGTGTTTTCACGTTCTCCCTGAGAGCCCAGCCCTGCTCTGCTTTGTTTGTGTTTCATCCCAGTATTTGGAAAGACAGGAGACCTGAGTAGACGTTGTCGGAAATGTCATGTCGTGCAGAGAAAACAGGAGAGGCGGAAGAGAGCCTGGCTGGAGAGACAGGTTGGCGTTGTGGGAACCAACAAGGCTCTGTGGCGTGGACGTCGACCGCATCCGAGCTAGCTCTGGGTATCGGAGGAAGAGTAACTCCCCTTTGTGGGGCTGGAAGGAAGAGCAGCACCTCCGCTGTTTAGAGGCTGTGTCACACTGTTCCTGCAGAACAGACGCCATTCTCTTCCTCGTGCAGATGAGCAGCTAAGGCCAAGGAGGGGATGTGGCTTGTCCTCAGGCGGCAAGTCAGGACCTGCACCTAACCAAGCCAGGTCTCAGATTCTAGGCACATGTGTCTCCTTGTGACCTGCCCTAACCTCCTTCTCGGCTGACCCCTTGTCCCCTGCACCGAGGGGTCCCCATTTCTTCAGGAAGGTCAACCTCTGGTGACTGCTCGGGGACCTCTGACTTTGTAAACAGCCAGGGTCATCCTACCTATTTGTGACGGGTTATAAATAGACAGTACAGGGCAGACCTGCTGTCAGATGTGGATAAACACACTGAGAAATCGATGATCTGTTTTTCTGACTGCAATTAAATTACACTAAGTCTAATTGTGCAAAAAATAAGCTGGCTTAATGTTCATATGCTTCTGACCCGACTTTGTCAGGGTTTTCTGCTGACCTCTCCTTGATCTAAGAGGCAGGGAGAGATGTGTCTAAAAAACAAAAGCCTGAATGGGAGGTACTCTGCCGTGTTTCGAGACCGAGTCCTCTCCAGGACTCGTCCGAGGCTGCTGTTCTTGCACCAAAGGCTGCTG